CATAAATATATTGTATAATGTACATAAATATATTGTATAATGTACATAAATATATTGTATAATATACATAAATATATGCAGTAGAGACAATATATTTATCTTTCTTGTTACAGTAATTAATATTAACAACAGAGTGCACTTTTATACTCTCCAGTGCTTGGTCAAAACTGTTGTATCGGACATAGACTTGGACAATCAATCAGAGTATGAATGAACTGTAAGCATTTTAAATGTGGATATTCCAAATATTTGGAAGAATACTGTGGACATTCAAAAAAATGTCTGAATAGATTTTATGAAACTAAATATAAAAGGAGAACTCAAGGACACTACAAAGGAAGGGAAAACAGTATATTTTGGACACTTAAAAACAGATACAGAAATCGTGAAAGAAAAGAGATCAAACGAACAACAAGTAAAGAAATTTGAGGATGGTATCTAACAGAAGATGGGCCTGAAGATTTCATAGTACACAAGAGTGGCTCAAGATAAACAGTGTTTGTGATCCATTGCAGTCAGTTTCTATAACAGAGATGTCACAAAATAAATGAATATCTCTTTATAAGAAAGATGATTAACTTGAATTAAAACTCTACCTCTAATCATTCAAGTCTGTCATATTCTAGTGCCTCTGAGCTTACCTGTACATCACCTTGTGGCAGATAAGAAAAACAAAAAAAGTGTTTCCTGTAAAGTCGCATGATTTTCAATGGCTGTAAGCTTATGATATCTTATACGTTATTGGTTAAACCCACTGATATCTTATACGTTATTGGTTAAACCCACTGACATCTTATACGTTATTGGTTAAACCCACTGATATCTTATACGTTATTGGTTAAACCCACTGATATCTTATACGTTGTTGGTTAAACCCACTGATATCTTATACGTTATTGGTTAAACTCACTGATATTATTGTGTATTAAAAACTAAAGTTCCAAGATAATTTCCTTGTTTTATGTGTTACTTATAGATATTTTTATTTGTTATTTTTTAGAAAACAGTTAATAACACAAGCCTGCGATGGTTTTATTGTCTTGAAATTTTTACATGTTCTACAGTACGCTGAATCCGAAAATGATATCCATTTTTCTCCATCATGTACATATTTTTCACAAAACGGCATAACACAACACATAGAAGAAAGACCACAACACGTAGTTTTGAGACTAAAAGATGTAGAAATCACAAAAAAAAAATCAGGATGAATGAGGATGCATATTCGTTTAACATCAATGTTCATCCCTTTTCTTCAGTTTGTTAGTATTTTTGTTAACAAACATTATAATAAAAAATTTTCAACGTGGTAAACGAAATAATGAAAGTGACTAGAGTGGTCTGATTTATGTACCACAATAGAAATACACTGATGTTTAGAAGTACAACAAAGAGATTGTCTTTGAGTTATCTTTGAATGTAAGAATATTATGATGGGTTTGACAACATATATTAGCATTATGGTATAATACATGGCTGTTAATTTTCACCTCATTGTTAACTTGCTAAAGTTAAACTGTAACTGAAGATTAAACACAGATGAAGCTGCTAAAAATAATTGTGGTTTGAAATTTTTTTAGATCACAAAACGAGATTTGGTGCTAACACAAAAGTGTCTTTACCTTATTGGAAGAGAAAAGGTTGGTATAACTTTTATTTTAATCTCATTTGGATTAAATTAACTGGTTTTGTAAGAGTAAACTTGTGTCACTTTTAAACTTGTGTCACTTTTAGTGAAATGTAATTGAAGCTAATAGTAAATTTCATAGTCCACAGAATACTAGTGAAAATGTTGTGTTTAGCTCATGTTACATATATTTTTGTAAATACAGATATTTTTCTTTTTTAATTCCATTTTGTAAAGTGCACTGTTCAGTCACTTACTGTGAATACGGCCCTGAAACTGTAAGATTGTATGTAAAAATATTAATCAATATATTTTATGTTACAATGATTAAAGAAAGGAATTTGGTTTCAGTTTCATTTTATGTTATTAATATTTTTTCATTTAACCAGTAATATAAGGCAAACTACTTTAGAGAATCGATAAAGAGCAAGAAAATATTTTGCTCATATTAATCATTTTGATACCTTTGTGTATTCGTACTGAAAGTCTTAAAATATTCACAAAATATACATAATGATTTTAGTTATTTTGGTTCTAGGGTAGCAACTGCAAAAACATACGAAAAACATTTTTGTTAAAAGAATATTTTAATTGTTCTGGAAATAGGTAATAACTATGGGTGTATCAAATATAAAAGGAAACAAGTCTTTGAAATGTGAAAAGTGTGTAATATCACAAAAATCTGTAAATCGCTGTTGTAGAAATGTGTTCATCCAACTTTCACAAAGGTTAAATTTGCAAATAATATAAGAAAAAGATGTCAGTCTTCCAAAAATGTGTTATTTTCTTGTTTGTTTTATATAATTTGAACTTCATTCTGTTATCATTATGATAATGTTGTTATTGGTGATTTTTCTAACAATTTAATGAATTTATCACTTTTCTTATGTTTAAATCCATAAAGATTTATTGTTATTTTGCATAAAGTGAAAGATTGTTAACTTCTTTCATGTTAGGTTAAAAATGGACCTGAGAAGGGGCTTGTGAAAGAAGTGATTAAAAGAAAAATAGAACTTGAAAATATCAGTCAGATAGCAGTTAGGTACTTATTTTCTGTTTCATTTTCTGTGTGTACATACGTTAATTTAATGTAAATCTTATAAAGTTCTAAAAAAGTTAATTTTGCTCAAACTTTGACTGTTGTAAATTTTTTTCCCTTTGAACATAAAATTTTCCATTAACTCTGTGTCACTATTAAAAAAAAAGACATTATAAAGATTAAAATGTGTTGAAGTTAAATGATTCATTTTAACTATTCATGAACAGAGTTTACAACTTAATAAAGACAGGAAGGTATTGATCAACTTACGTGTATGCTAATTACGGTACGTTACTGTGTGCTTTAGTAATGTATGGTGTTTGTTTTGTTTTTTTCACAACTTTAACTATTAATCGTTTCTTGCACTGCAGTTTTATTTGAAAGAACATACCACATGACTTCTTCGTTAAATTAAAATTGTTTAAATAAAATAAAAGACCTTAAAAGAAAAGATGAATCTTTCTGAGCTAGTTGTTTCTAGATAATTTTTTTGCTCACTCAAGAAAATGTTTTTATAGGGAACACTAGCAAAACAAAAATGCATTCTGTTATTGTAATTCAGTTTTTACATCACAGGTAGTTGTTTTATGAAACTACTTAGGATAGGAATTGCTAGCGAAAAGTTTGTTTTATACACCGGTAAGTGATTATGTGGCACTCCCTTTTGCAGCACACGTCAAGATGATCTGTTAGTTATTCAGGTGAAAAATGACTATGACAGTCTCCTAGAATGTATGTTTAAAACAGAACTGTTGACTATGCTTGACAAAGCCTTTCACAAGAAGTTCGAGAAAGCTTTACCTCTGAACTTTTCTGACAGGTGAGAATTACAACTAAGGTGTTTAAAAGGAACAAGTCTGATATCGTGATTTTAAATGTTTTTTATATGGAACTTTATATGTGTATGTTTACTAAGTGAGTTAATAACATGAAATGTTTATTCTCCAAAATATAGAAATTGGTCGCTAAAGCAATCTATTATTTTTTATTTATTTGTATACATATATATATATATATATACAACACACACACACACATATATGTATACCACACACACACATACATACATACATACATATACATATATATGTATACCACACACACACACACATATATATATACACACAGACATATAATAGTAATAAATATATAATTACGTAATGAGAACCTAACACGTGTAAGTCAGCAAAACTTATCAACAACCACAAAACAATGAAGTGTAAATATTTTAAAATGTAATCCAAAAACACACAAAGAGAAAAAGTCTCGAAACAAATACCAAAATCCATCATGTGAGGTGTATAACTGCATATGGCATGTGAGGTATACAACTCCATATGGCATGTGAGGTATATAACTCCATATGACATGTGAGGTGTATAACTCCATATGGCATGTGGGGTATATAACTCCATATGGCATGTGAGATATATAACTCCATATGGCATGTGAGGTGTATAACTCCATATGGCATGTGAGGTATATAACTCCATATGGCATGTGAGGTGTATAACTCCATATGGCATGTGAGGTGTATAACTCCATATGGCATGTGAGATATATAACTCCATATGGCATGTGAGGTGTATAACTCCATATGGCATGTGAGGTATATAACTCCATATGGCATGTGAGATATATAACTCCATATGGCACATGAGGTGTATAACTCCATATGGCACATGAGGTGTATAACTCCATATGGCATGTGAGGTGTATAACTCCATATGGCATGTGAGATGTATAACTGCATATGGCATGTGAGGTATATAACTCCATATGCCAAGTGAGGTGTATAACTCCATATGGCATGTGAGGTGTATAACTCCATATGGCATGTGAGATATATAACTCCATATGGCATGTGAGGTATATAACTCCATATGGCATGTGAGGTATATAACTCCATATGGCATGTGAGATATATAACTCCATATGGCATGTGAGGTATATAACTCCATATGGCATGTGAGGTGTATAACTCCATATGGCATGTGAGGTGTATAACTCCATATGGCATGTGAGGTATATAACTCCATATGGTTATTACAAATTTTTGAGCTAGTAAATTTTTTTTGGAACAGGTGATATGTAAGGTCAGGTTTGTAGAAAGAAATGTCTAAGGCATTGAGTTTATATTTAATAGATGTGAGAAGAAATATTTTCCATTCACAAAAGTTAATAAAAAGTTATATACTATTCATGACGAAATAGGTTTTTGTTTTGCTTTTCTTTTGGCATGATTTGTATTTGCACATTTTTGAATTAAGTTTTGAAGTATATATGTAAACAGTTATTTTTCTATGCGTTTTTTATCATGTTCTCCTTGCATTGTTTTCCATATAGGTTTTTACAGTTCTTATAATTTTCATTGGTATTAAAAACTCAGAACAAACTTCAAATACAGAAACACTTTCACCACATAAATAGAATTTATACCTACTTTGGAAACACGGTACGTTAGTTTCAGGGAACTGTGGGGATCGTAAAGTTACAGTGTATATCTGCATGTACCTAATGCTTTTATAAAATATTTGGTAGTTTATGTTGTAATGGGTGCCTATCCTGTTTTTATTCATCTTGTAAGATTAGAAACTCATTGTACAGCCTCTGTTTTCTGTATGTGATAGCATGCAGTTCCGTGTCGATATTCATCTTGTAAGATTAGGAACTCATTGTACAGCCTCTGTTTTCTGTATGTGATAGCATGCAGTTCTGTGTTGATATTCATCTTGTAAGATTAGGAACTCATTGTACAGCTTCTGTTTTCTGTATGTGATAGCATGCAGTTCTGTGTCGATATTCATCTTGTAAGATTAGGAACTCATTGTACAGCCTCTGTTTTCTGTATGTGATAGCATGCAGTTCTGTGTCGATATTCATCTTGTAAGATTAGGAACTCATTGTACAGCCTCTGTTTTCTGTATGTGATAGCATGCAGTTCCGTGTCAAAAAGGAGGGATTTGGAGGAGGAGCAACAAAGCAAGTTAAAGTTTCAGCGGGTCAAGGAGATTTTATGGTGATGAGGCCCACTGGGAAAATCCTTTTGGTTTATATTGGTCCTGGATTAGCAAAAGATACACGTAAGTCATAACTTTTCTCAATACGATATTTTTTTATGTGTTCATATGAATCAAATATAAAATTACGAAGCTATGATTACTATTTTCAATTACTATTGAGACACTTGCTGTTGCTGTGGGGAAAGAGTACAGTTAAAAAAAAAAAAATTTCACTGTAGTTATCAGTATATATGTAACAGTTGGACCTTCAGTTAATAATGAGATATTCTGTAGAATCTACTAATAGACAGGATAGTAGATACAGGAGGTTAATATCATTTTATATGAATAATTTATTTATGCTAATGCAGTGATATCTTGCTGAAGAAAGTGAGCCAATACACCAGAGGCAGTTTGTAACACCTGAACATATTTAACAGAAAATTATTGGCTACTCAGTAGCACCACAGGTAGACTCATGGTTTAAAGATATGATAAGTATTCATAAAATGAAATAGTATAGAGCCAAAGGAAAGAACTTTTAAGGAAGGGAGCTTTCAGTGTTCTCTATAAAAATAGAAAGCTACACCTTCATCTGCTAAGTGAAAACTCTGGTTATCAAAGAGAATCTTCCAACCCCCCCTTGTGGTGAAATCGGGCTCATCTTCTACAGTTAATGAAATGTTAAATTAGTTTATGAAATAGACAAAAACTCTCAAGCTTTCAGCCACATCTCAAAATTATCAGCTGATTCTGTGATAAATGTGGGTGAAGAAATTGGAATCTCAGTTATTTCACTTGACCAAATATGTTCGTAAAGTCATCCATTGCAGCTCCAAAGAACACTTGGTTACTTATACGTGTCCTTGGCAGTCAATGATTATATACTATGAAAAATCTGTTTAAAGTTTACCAAGATATTTGGTCTAAGACAGACCTCGTCATGCTTTGCAGAAGTTTGTTCAATGAAATTATGTTGTTGAACAGTGGTCATCGGATTAAGCTCAATCAATAATGGAACGAGTAGTTCTCAGAACAGCATAAGATTTGGGACATTATTTTTATAAAGTACAATTAACTTCGGTATATGCAAGGGTGGGGTCTTCCACTAATTTCATCTTGTATTTTATAGTAAAAAGTATTTTTCCTTGTGACAATTCATAGCACAAAGTTGCATTTTTTTTATTAAATTGTTTTTGAGAAGGATTGTTTTTTAAGTTAGAGAACCTTCCTGATTTTTTTTATGCCATCGTGAGAAATTCTTTAGACAATTTGATTTTAAAGTTTGCTGGGTCACAACAATGAAGAGACAAACTCAAATTCCACAAGATAAAAACTGTGGTTATTAAATGGTGAAATAAACATTCATGATGTATAATGGTTGTTTCTTAACATTTTGTGGACATCAGAAACTTCATGGCCAAAACCCAAGAAATTCTTTATATATCCCATTGTGTCTACTGTGAACTTTACTTAACACTTTCTATTTTGATAAGTTTTATGTCTGTTCAGTGCATAGCAGGGCATGGCTTATTGGTCAGCCTGCCAAACTGTAAGTTCAAGGGTTCAAAATTATGCCATGGGAGTATTATAAGAGTGAAAGTTAAATCCCACTATTCCATTTAAGTACCCCAAGTCAACAGTGGGAGATGTTGACTAGCTGCATTCTTTTAGTCTATCAGTTCAAAATTATGATCAATTGTTAACCCAGATAGCCCTTGAGTAGCTTTTCACAACTATCCAAAACAAACAAACAATACAGTATATGATAAGATTCATAGCCAAAGTCTCTGGAATGTTTAGTCTACTGTGAATTATACTTAACATATTTCATTGTGATGTTTTTCAGTTTATAAAAGAATATATATATATGTATTTTTTGATGTAATATATGTACTCAGGGTTATTTCTATTTTCAGTTCTGCCTTGCTTTGTACTTCTTTTGTAACATGTTGGAGTTTTTTTAACAAACAGACTGACAGACAGTCACTGTCAAATTCTAATAATTCTTGGCCATCTTACTCATTAGGGCCAGGACTTCGGCAGTCAGTAGACCATAACTTAAACCAGTTTAAATCTTCAGCAAGAGGTCCACTTAATGTACAGCCACCAAAACACACGATGCCTACATATCAACACATTAGACGAGCTCCTCCGCCTCCTAATTTTCCACCACCTCCTGTTCCTGAGGAAGAAAGAACATCAGCTATGCATGGTAATAATAATAATAATTCCTGTAAATCTTCATGCTCCATTTTTGAGGGTAGTTTAAAAGTTCTCCCCTAACATAAAATAAGCTACTCTTTCATGTCTTATTCTTTTGCTCATGAGCAGTGCTTACAATTGAATTAATCTTATCATTCACCATTTTGATAAATTAATACTGTTGGACTAAAAATAATTTTCAGGTTTAGTAATTTTAAAAAGAACAAAATGTGCAGATATCAGCTAAAATAAGTAACATAGATAAAATAATTCAACAATAAAATTAAACCTTTAAACACTAACATCACAAACTAGGGAAACTATTAGTAGACGGATATTTGTAACTTTTTTTTAATGAAATAAAAGTGTTTCTAAACTAAGAAAGCACTTGCACTAATAGCTTATGTACATCAAGATTCTACTAGTACCAGCTAGTGGTTGAACAAAAAGTTGATGTATATCACACACATACATATTATCTGAGTAGGCCTAAATAAATAAAAGATTTAGAAGAGAAATTAACATAACGATAATTATTTGTTTTTGTTTTTTTAACATGAGAATTGTTTTCAATGAAATGTATTTCTTATCATAATTGAAAATGTAATAGCCAATTTTATTTTTGTATATACTCAACAACTTCCACAAAATACATTATAGGAACTTTAGTTTTATTTTTTTTAGGTGAAAATTAAAGGTATGAAAATTTTTATAACTTATCTAGTATCACAGTGATGACATTTCTGAATTATTCAAAGGTGTTTAGTTATAATTTCTTAAGTTACTTTTATATTTACTTACAGTTCCCTCTACTGGTGCTGAAGGAAAAGTACGAAGTACAAACACCAAGCGTAACTCCAATACAGCGCCTTTTTTACCCGAAGGATTTACACAACAGATTGCTCACCGATTGAATCAAGCTGTTATATCAAGACAGACAAGTGTCTCTAAAGAAAACCAAGGTATCCAGCAAGGTTTACCAGATGCTGGAATTTCAAGGTATGTAATTTAATCAAAGTTTATTTTTGGCTTCACAACTGTAGGCATGAAAGATTAAGTAAAAAATATTAGAACTTGTCATCGAGAAGTGGTATACATTACTCAGCTTTTGAAAATTTATAAATATCTCAATATAATTCCCAAGAATTTGACAAGAAAGCTTTTTGTTTTTTCATTAATATGATGTTTTGTAACTGTAAAAGATGGAAGTTTGTTGTAGTAGTTCTAATGTTTTATTTTTTAGGTGTTTGATTTCTTCACTAAATGTCACATTGTTGAATACTTCTACTCATATTTTTAGTTACATTAACACTGTGTTGCAATATTCTTAGTGAAATTAAGAAACACTATACCTAGTATGCTGCGTGAACTTAAATAGTGCATGAAATATTAAATAGTTAGACAAACTAAAATTTTAAAAATCATCAATAGTAATAACAAATTTTAATTAAAAACAATACTGGGTTTTACATGTTTATTTGATAATAGTAACACCATCATTATAAAACATTATGTTGTATGATACATATTTTCATATTTTGAATCAGTTGATAGATCATTAGTTAGGCCACATTTGGAGTATTGGACTCCTTACCTTGGAAAGGGTTCAGAGTAGGGCTAATATGATGATACCTGGGATGGGAAGGTTGTCATACGAGGATAGGTTAAGATCTCTTAACTTGTTTTCTCTTTAAGGAATTGATAGTGCATCATCCTGTTATTGTATTTAATGGTAAAAACAGTAGGACTACGGGCCACAAACGTAAATTTTGGCAAGGTAGGAGTCATCTTCAGCTAAGACAGTTTTATTTTTCTAACAGGGTGATTGGTCTTTGGAATGGGTTGCCTTCAAATGTGGTACATGCAGTTAATTTACGGGAGTTTAAGGGAAAGCTTGATGACCGTTTGAATAATAAGGGCTGATTTTGAGTTTAATTCAGTGAATAGAATGGCATAGCTGGACCAAAAGGTCCCTTGTTGCTCTTTAATATTATGTTATGATTCTATTATACTCCAGAAAGCTTTAATAATAAAATTGACTGTGGGTGTGCCTTGATGTTTAGAAGAGTGTATCCAAGAAATATTTCAAATATATTTTAATTTATTCGCCTAAAAAATGTGATAAAAACATTTTTTTTGGTAAATTATTTATTTTTTCTTTTTAGGATTAAGAGACAGAGTATGAGAGAAAACAAACCTCCACCAGGTGGAGGAAAACCTAAGCCACCAACAAAACCTAAACCTGCTTTGCCACAGTGTAGGGCACTGTATGCTTATGATGCACAAGACACTGATGAACTTTCCTTTGAGGCTGGAGTTTTGATCAGCATTGTAAAACAAGGTGAGGTTAAAGTGAATAAATACCACTCGTCTACTTACAGAACTAGAGGTAATATGGTAATTTGAAAGCAGTTTTTCTGGGTAAAGAGGTCTTTGAGCTAATAAGTTACACAACTATTTTAATGAGCATTAATTGTGACTTGACTTGCAAATGATAAGATAGCTGGATGTTATCTTCTAGTTTATTTCAAGAAATAAGTGTTCTCTGTTTTAAAATTTATATATATATATCAATAATCATGTGGTAACATTATTCTTATAGCAACTAATACTTAATAAACTGATTAATTAATAAATAATTAATCCCACCAATTTAATTTTATAAATTTTGGATGAAAAGTTTAATTTTTAAAAGCCCAGCTTCTTCAAATCATAAATATGATGAATACATTTTAATACTAGCTTTGATTTTATATATTTAGACATTATAGGTACACTATCCTACCAAAAGTCATGGGACATGGGTAGTTATGAATAAAACATGTCTTTATTCCAAGAAATTAATAGCGTGTTAGCCCGCCTTTGGCCGTAATGACTGTTTCAATGCGTCATGGAAAACTGTCTACTAATTTCTGGTAGAAAGTTGGTGGTATTGTGCTTCACTCATCCTTTAAAACATTAGTAAGCTCCACTACTGAAGGGGGGGGCCGTCTAATTCTGCATTCCAGTTTATCCCAAAGATGTTCTATTGAGTTGAGGTCGGGGCTATGTGCTGGCAATGTTCCGATGTTATTCTCTTCAAACCACAAGTTCACAATCCTTGCTTTGTGACATTGAGCATTATCATGTTGGAAGGTACCATAAAACTGCCACAATGTAGGACACACAGAATTGTTCAGAGCATCAGTGTAGGACTCGGCATTCATTGATCGATGAGCTGCGACCAGTGGACCTAGTCCATACCACGAGAAGCCCCCAGACTATGATACCGCCACCTCCAAACTTCACTGTTGGGACAACACATTCAGGTAATAAGCGTTTTCCAGGCATTCTTTATACCCAAACACGTCCACCAGACTGGAAGAGCATGTAGTGTGACTCGTCATTCCACAGGACCAAATTACATTGATCCAGGTTCGGTGTTCCTTGCCCCATGCCAATCAACAGTGTATATTTGTTTTTAGCATACAGCTCCCGATGTGTCGTGAAAACACTCATAAGATTGCCTGTGGCTGCTCGCATCTCCAAACACAGATTCTATAGGATCTGATTGTGAGATGAGGTAATCAGCCATCTCAAGGCGTGTCGGCTCTTGTAAGTCAGTATTTTACGCCTACCTTGTTGTTTCTTGGGCTCATTGTCACCTGTGGACTGCCATATCTTCAGCATGTTGCCAATTGTCAACCTGGGAATGTTTAATTATTGTGCATTATCACATACAGACATTTTCCCTAAATGACATCTAATTATCCTTTCCCCCCCCCTGAAACTCTGTTAGCTTATCGTTCACCGTAAAAGTTTAAAATGACTTACAAATGAACCACTGATCACCTTTATAGGCCAAACTATTATCATATTTCATTGTCACACCCATTTTCCTGCAATCAGAGATGTGTCCCATAACTTTTGGTGGGATAGTGTACATGTCAAACTGTAACTTCAATTCTTAGTAATAAAAGGCTGATTCACTGTAGTTTCAGCACAGGGTAGTCAGAGGATAGGAACATATATTTTTAGAAATCATATATATAATGGAAAACAAATTCCAAGTTTTCTTGATGTTGAACTTCAAAATTCAACTTTTTGAAGAGTTTGTTTCTCCAACATTTATGATCCTTCCTATTGCAATAGTCCCTTGGTGGGTCAGCGGTAAGTTTACGGACATACAACACTAAAACCTGAGATTTGATTCCCCATGGTGGAGATAGCCTGTTGTGTAGCTTGGCACTAATAAATGTTGTATTTAAATTTTATTTTCCAATTTATAATAAGAATAAATCACACTCATTTTGAAAAAAGTCCAACAGTGGATATGACACGCACCTAAAATAATATGTTGGTATAGAGACTTTTTTTTTCTTTTTTGTACGGAGTTTGAAAAGCACTAAAATAACTATATCATGTCTTTTTAAATTCTGTCATATTTTCAAAACTTAATTCAACTTTGTAAACATATTTTAAAAATTTTTAACCAGAATATTTTCATTGAGTTGTTGAACCATATGAAAGTCGATCTAAATGTTTATGAATTAAGGTTTATAAATTGTGAGAAATGATAATCATGAAATTATTCTGACTTTTGATCAACTTGTGCTTCTTTAGATCCCTCTGGATGGTGGTTAGGTAAGCTGAAAGGAAAAGAGGGACTTTTTCCTGGAAATTATGTGGAGGTTTTGTAGTAAACTATTTAAATAACATGAAATTAAAACACATTTAGTGTACTTAAACGTGCCTCACTTACAATGTATCACTTTTTGTATTGATATTATTGAGGAGAAAATTGAAATTTTCACTGCTTGTGCATTGTAATAACATTTTTTTTAGTGGTGATTCATGATTGTGATCAGCCTAGTGAGGTTTTCATTTGTAAATTGATTGAAACTTCTTAGCGTGATTAAAATGTCTATTTTCCTGTTTCTCGCAAAGAAAATAAGAATGAACATTCCAGCAATGTGTTTAAAGGCTTTTTCACTGTTGATGCCAGAGAGATAGAAGTATTTTGTAGCATCTATAAAAACGTGTCGCAACTTATAATTCTGATGTGAACAGTTTTTATGTGTCTGTTAACACGTTTTCCTGAAGTAATGTTGGTAATAACAATATGTGAATATTGATTGTATAATAAGAAATGTATTACTTGGCCATAAAAGTGTAACTTTAAATGATAATACAATAAAGCAGAAAAAAATTATATTTTCTAGTCTTAGTGACTACATCCAAATATTTTTATTTTAGAAGTCGAAATGGATACACATTATTTGTGATTATTAATTTATTTTTCCTTTGATATATTTTTTATACTTTTTCTGTGAGTACACCTACTTATTCTTCATATAATTAAAATGAATATTCAATACTTTGATAGCACTTTACATAAAAATGTGCACATAAATATAAATATTACACCATTGAATATCTTTGTCTAACAAACGTTACAAAAAAATATTCGGCTAATATATATATAAATTGGTTGAAAAAATAGATTTTAAATAATTTTACTGCCACTCTTCATTATAGATGGTTCTTCTTTAGTTTTTTCTTGTAATGTCTTCTTTGTCTTTCAGCTTTGCTCTTTATTTGTAATAAGTTTTTAAAAAGAAACATTATGATCCTAATGAGATACTTATACACAGAAAAACCTTTTAAACGAATAAACTAGGTGCAAGTTAGCTAATGATACTAAAAGTGTCTTACCTTTTAGTGGTTAATTTCATCAATTCTTTAGATAACATCGAGGATGTTTAATTAATATATTCAAATATTTGGACAAAATGCTAATAATCCTAATTTTTTTATTGTTTTAAAACTTTGGGAAAACCTAAAAAATGCTCTTTTTTTAAGTGTCAACCTTTCTGTGACATCTGATCAAAACCCTGTGTTTACCAGCTCAAAAATCTATTAAGTAAAATTTAGAAACAGTTAAAATAAGTGCTGATTTGATGTTAGTTAAGATTAATCAAAAATGAAGTTTTTTATAATATACAGTTATTGATTTTTAGACCTATTGTATTCAATTTTACCTTCAGAATTGTGAGTACCAACTGTTTGATTTTTATTTAAAATGTAAACACATGTACTGGAGTTATGCGATTTTTAAATTTAGATTTTAAGTTGATAAACATGTAGATAATTATCAGATGTATTGATTTTGAGCAGTGGAAATGTAAATCATGAGAATAAATTATTTATTATAAAATTATGCAGGCCTTATTCACAAGTTGGCATATTAATAAAAAATTAAATCTTAGAATCATTTTCAATAATTTATAACTGTTTTAAAGGAAGACTAAGTTTTAGAACATTAGTGCTGTATTTATTCGGTTTTCATCAATTTTGTTTTCCTTGAGCTAACTATTCCACTGGATGGTTTACAAATAATTAAAAAAAAGTTTTTCCATAACCCACAGTCAAACCACAACTTATCAAACTGTTAAAGTAATGGAATATTTATTAGATAAGAAATAAGATCTCCTTATATTGCAGGCCAGGTGTGGCTTAGTGGTTACAGTGCTGGACTGTGGATCAAAAGTTCAAGTTATGATAGCCGTGGGCATGTCCTGAAAGTAACAGTCAATTATTTTATTTAGATCAAACAGCTGGACAAAGCCCTTACATAAGCAAATTCTGCTCACTTGGTGCCTTCCTTCTGGTCAGTTGGTTCAAAATTAGGGATGGCTATACCTGAACCATAGGAGTATCTGACCCAACCATTTAGCCCACAATTGCATAGAGTGGAGCTCGTACTCGTAACTCTCAGTTTCTCTTTATGTTGCTTTACAAATAATATTGTATCTTGCATAACGGAGGATGACTAGACATGTAGAGAAGTTGCGGAAATAAATTAGGCACAGTTATACAACAGACTTTGGCCTTTATTTTTGTGGGCAACTTTAATTCCTCAGAAACAATAATTGAATTATAATTGTTGGTATTATGTGAAATACATATTCCACAGATTTTTAAGTATTCTTCAGTTGCTACAGATCCAACCCAACTGACGAGTGTTGGTACTCAGTGAAAGTCCTCTTTGGCAGTGCTGTAGGACACACATTTCTCCGATGTCTATTTTTATGCACCTCTCATTGAAAATCGGTAACAGACTAACTTAAGAAATTGAGAAAATAAATAACATGCACTTCACTTTTGTTAGGCCTAAAAATTTGGATATTTTTACACCTCTACAATGAAATATTATAAGTCTGCAATCTACGTTTGTTAGGCTTAAAAAAATATGTTGTTGCTATAATCCTTTGAATTTTACACCACTATAATATACAGATGCAAAAACCAATAGAGATCACTGGAGGATTAAATTTTTCACGTATTCACTGGCACTTAACAAATGATTGATATAACTAAAATATCTAAGTTGATTGATTTACTTATAACGTTTTCTTGGGCCTATATATAATAGGTGTTATCTAAAAATTCTATTGGATAACCAATCTGATATACAACTCAAGCAAATATTAATAACTTGCATTGTTTTCCTGATACTGCAAATTACTATGTTTATGAACAACAGTGTGTAAGTAGATACATTTGAAGCTTTGGTAAGCGATCTAAGATCCAATGGATATACAAAGAACTACTCAAAAGATTTTTGAGGCCTGACTGATCAATTCCGAGTCTTTCTGGATTATTTACAGTTATCTTGAAATGAGTTTTGTGTTAAAGATAATCATGACATCACTTTTGTTTTTCAGAGATTAATTTGACACAAGTTCCTACAACGTTAGAATATAGAAATTATCTGCATTATACAAATTTTATTCTTATATAAAATACATCAAGTTGTACAAAAATATACTGACACAAGAATTACAAACATCAAGCACTCCAACAATGATAAGAGAGAGATCCAAAAATAGTGTATGATGTTGAAGAAAACTGATCGCTAGTATACTGGAAAAAGACTTGATATACTATTGCTAAAAATTTTAGGAACAAAAAATCATTAAATATCTCATTTCTTGCTACACTGCTGCCTAAATTAAAGCAAAAGTGTAAATAAATACAATATATATATAAAGGTAAATAAAACATTATAAACTTTCATTACTGACCATAAACAGATACATACGTAAAAACAATAATAAACTAAAATGATGTGTTATATAATACAAAGAAAATTTCAAACATTAAGAATGAGATACTTTCTTTGACAGGCCACGAGAATCTTGACTATCAGGATTAGTCTAGGAATTGTTCTGGATTGTTGAATATTTTTTGAGCCAAGCTTCCCTGGGAACCTAAACTTGATAACTTGCTACCAATACACATCTGGAATTGTGTTACTTGCAGTTGAGAATCGCATTGTATGTCATGAAAAATGTGAATAAGCCCTGGGTCAGCTGCTCGAAAGACAGAGATGTTACTGTGTACCACTTTAGAATACAAATCAACATCTTCCTTGCCCCAACCATGAATTGTTGTATCCAGCCCTCCAACAGCATAAAGATCACTATTATACAAGCTTACTATCCCATACCCAAACTGTCGCCAGTAACCCGTTTCGTCATGAATGAAACTTGGTTTAGAATCCTTTGGTACAAACTGTGGACTATACTGACTGAATACTATAGGAAAGTACACTTGTTTTCCCTGGACTGTGTTTAAACGAACACGCTTTAAAACGTTTCTATCAAAAAACATATCCACATCAATAAAAAAAGAAGAGCATCTGAAGGAAAAAGTTTAGCACCAATCTCAAGAGCCATTGCCCGTGAGAACGAACCACTAGATTCTAAGAGCCTCAATGAGTATTTTGGATATCGTATCTGTAATCCCTGTAAGGCTGTCTTAGCGTCAACACTGTCACCGTCACTCATACTAAACAGCACAACTGCCAATGTTACTCTTTCTCTGTTCTGCAAACAAACCTCTTCAAAATTTGATAAAAATCTCTGAAATATTGGAGTTCTACCAGCTAATGGAAGAATAAAATTGATTTCTGTAACTTTGTTTAGTAAGTTGGTACTAGAAATATCAGATTCTGAAGGATCCTCATTCCTCATTTCATCTGTAATGTACAATGAAGCAATTTCTCTTATTTCAGGCTGAGAAAATGTTTGTTGTAAATATGCATGACGACGCACTGGGACAGTCATCTTTCTTCCCCTGTATTTCTTGTATTTCATCATTAGATCAAGAATGTAGTCTACTCCATAAAGTGGGTTCACTCTTTGATAGCCATACAGGATATCTTGAAACTCAATGACTCTTCCACGCTGTTTTGAAAACTTATTAATCATTTCCATCATTTCCATTACAGTGTCATTTATAGCTGTCTGTGTGTAGGCTTCGATCCGTCTCTTTGGGTTAGGATTATTGGCAGAATACATGTGCTTACTGAAGAAATCCCAAACCAATATATCTTCACGACTTTTTGGATGATATCTATTTAGATGGGGATTCACTCCCAGCTGCTTGGTATGACAAAAGCCGGTGTCATTCAGAGTTAAAGAATCATTTGTTTCCAATAACATATTCATGTTCAAGATATCTCTGTGAAGAAGTAAGGTCCGATACCGCAGCTCCTGCGACTGTAAATGAAGGAAATAGCTGTGAAGTCGATATAAGTATGCAGGTTGTTTGATAGGATGGAGTGTAATGGCTCTATGGACTTCTTTCATTTTCAGTCGACCCATGAAAGTTTCTTCTCCGGCAAAATTCTGGTAGAAAATATTCTGCATCTACAGAAATAATAACACTGTTTATCTTTTTCACAAAAAACAAAATTATTTCATTGAAATCTTTGTCTAGTTTCACTTCAGTAACAAAAAATGGTTTAAATAATTAGATCATGTTAATCCCAGCTTTGTCTGCATCTTAATTCATCTTACATGAAGCATTTTGTCAATTACATAGTTGATCATTTTTCTGTGATACTTGTAAATAATTTAAAATAACACTGAAGCACTTTGATTTTAATGACTGAAAACAGATGCTGAGTCTCTAACCACCAGGTGGGGGTCTCCACAATTTAACGTTCAATCATTAGATCATTTTATATATCCAATAAGAGGTTACTCTAGAGAGAATATAAAATTTACGTACGTCTTAAGTTACTCATCGCTAGTCAACTCCTTTCTAAATGTAAATCTCATAATTCCCTGAGACACTGAAAACTTTTTATTTGAATAACATGTTCAAATCAGTTGCATTAAAAAACGAAGAAGAGAGAAACCGAGTTTACAACACTGATTCAAATAGGTTTACTTAAAAATAAAAACGTAAGAATCAGTAAACTATAAAAACTAACCAAAGTTAACTGTAACTTTCCGTATTCACATACACTAAAATTTGAATGGTATCAGACTCCCAGCAGTGTCTGCTACTACCGGCTATTAAAGTAGTCTAAATTTAACAAATTATAGGTTGAAAATTACTGCAAAAAACACTATTTTTAGTGAAATCTCTCTCGTGGAGATGCTATACGGTAATCGATCAAGTCTGATAGAACCAAATATGGGTATATATTTCAAATGTAGTTCTTCCCTTCTACCTAACAACTCAGAGTTATTATTTTTACACTGTAACTGAGAATATTAATTACTAATTCCTTAAGCTCTAATAAATGATCTCCCCTCAAGTAGTTACACATGAATTATTCTATTTAACTGAATGTTACATTTTAAATGATGATTGAAAAAATCGGTTTCTTTAAGTATACATTTTTTATAAGTTAAAGTTGCTATTACAGACTCTTTGGATGGTTAAACAGGTTTTAAAGGTTGAGCTTCAGGTATTAAAGATGCACTAGGAGACCTAGTAAAACAGACATTATGAGACAAAATATTCCACTGTAACCCTTAACAGAGAAGATATTTGGTCTAAGAACAAGTCTAAATGTGGACATAAAAAGCTTAGTTCCTACTTTTAACCAGGGGCGTCAAGAGCCAGCCCAAGCCCCGGGGTCATTGCCTCCCCATTCATTCTGTTTATTAACTTTTGCCGAATTTTCATAAAATAAATTTAGGTGACAACTTTCTTCATGAAAAAGCAGTAGCCATTTTAGCTCATTAAGTGGTATGCATTTTCTAGTGAGCTTTGGAATATCCCACGGCCAGGCTCCCCTCCCCTCAGCCCTGCTTTTAACTATAACATTTCATCACTGAGAAAAGACATTTTGTCTCAGAAAAAATCTAAACATGGACTTAAAAAGCTTATTTTATACTTTTAACTATAACATTTCATCATACAGTACTTCCAGCTATGTAACAATATTTTTTGGTAACAATACTGATTTTCTTTTTCTGTTCACTGGTTACTTTAACACGCAGTCTGTGAGTCAGGGACACATTTTTGGTGGACTGATTCCCAAGAAAACCTTTCCAGTATTCTCCTTTTTTAAATTTTCAACAGAGATTTGAACTCCTTGTATTATAAGGAACCTAAATAGCTCACCAGCATGCCCAAATTCACTCTATTTTCAGGGTATGAAGGAGTAAAACCCATACCCCCCCCCCCATTACACACATTGCACAATACAAGATCTGGTTCCTCAGCTCTAAAAAGCTGTTTTTCCATGGTTTTCAAGAGTTCTGTCAATATACATGACCGAGGAAGATTTAATAAAGCTTATTTGTCATTATAAAATAGCTAAGTGTGGTATCTACCTGTCTAAGTGTGGTATCTACCTGAAGTGAGCACTTGTACTATTTTGTGCAAGACGAACACTCTTTGGTCAACCATCTAAACTCCAAGGGTCTGTAAAAACATTACTGATAGGTGAAACCTTTTGGCAATAAAATGTAGTTTTCTTGAGGTTAAAAAATCAAGTTCTTTATTAGAGTACATTATTTTGGTTCTAACACGAATACCAGAAATCATGACACCCTCTGTAGCCCACCCAATCCCCCAACATTGGTCTCATAAACTTGTTAAATGTGTCAATGTTTTCCAAGACTGAGGATTGATACCAGTGAGCATGGATGAAATATCAATAAATAAATGACATTAATATAAGTAGATAAAGGCTGTGTATGTATATATTTATTTGTTATATTCAATATTGGAATGAGTTGGTTGAATACTAACCTCATAAGACCAGGTACAAGGTATACCGACAAATCTGCGTATACACCTTCCAACTTCAACATCTTCGTGTGTAGAATATAGGTGTTTAAGACAATAACGTATATGAGGTGCCAAAAGTCGTAGCGTCTCCCTACTCATTAACATTCCAGGACCACCCATACAAAAGTTTTCACCGTCATCAAGGCTCAGTTGTCCAAATTCTTCTTTATTCCCAAGTCCAGCCTGACCAATGAACTGAGCTTTACTACTGTTGATAGACCGTAAAAATTTTTCAAGCTTGTCTGTCCGAACATAAACATCATCATCTGCCCGCATGAACCATTCAAATTTATCTAGAAAGTGGTCATGCATGTACTTAAGCATGAGAAAAGATTTCTTCTGTGGAGGGTAAGAGTCATCAACTCCTGGTAACGTCACCAATGGAAGCTGTGATGATGCCTTCGAATTACTGCTAGAAAAAAATACAATTTTTCCTGGGATTGTTTTGCCCCAAGTCTCATAAACAGCTACTGCTCTTGAGTCAAGAAACTTTTCTGCTGTCATCACTCCTACGAAAAGTAATCGCTTATCCTCCGTCAAAGTAGTTAGATCTACAGGTGGGGCTCGCTTGTACACCACCAAGTTTCCTTGTTTATGAATAAAGCATGAAAATGTGGTTCCTTTTGGGAGAAGGGCATTGTGAAAATACAACGTTAGGAAAAAACCAACAAGAACACCCGCAATTAGACTTAAGACAGGATTTTTCCTTTTCAGTGAGAGTTGCCTAGACAGTCCAAAAACCCAGCTTCTGATTAAAGTTCTCATTGTAACCTGCATTTAGAAGACTTCCACAGCATTCCTATAATTCAATCTATGGTGAAGAAAAAAAGGCATGTCACTAAAGATCACCCAGTAACACTACTATGTTAGAGATGGAATAACAACCTTAAACTTTATAGTTCTAACTAGGAGTATGCAGAGTCATGTTTTCATGTTAGAAGTGTTTCTCAAAAATGGAATGAAATTGATAATTCTTTACATGTGTTGTTTAGTTCCAGGATAAACTGAAAAACAAATGATTTTTTGTGGAATGTTGAAATTGTTTAATAAAACTTCTTTCAAGGTTTATGTTTTCTTAATGCACGTTTGACTAGTTCTGAAATACATTTTTCTAAGAAAAACAAACATGTTCATTAATTTGTACTACAGAAAAAATGTCATGATACTCAATATCCCTAGGCTATGAGCAAAGCTACTTGCTATGCAAATTTATCCAGTAACAAAAATACTGTGTTAAATCATGTAAATTATTTAATTTCTGTAGTTCATATTGGTGTATAGAAGATATATTGTGTTTTAGTGAATGCTTCTGAAGAAGCTGTAAAGCAAAACATTAAGTGTCTAATTAAATAAAAACATTTTGGTGTTATAAAGTCATTTATTTCTAGTATTAATAAATCAAGTAAATTTTGAGCTGCCAGGTGAAAATAAATTTGTTTAAAAAAATATATATATAAATCTTTTACTTATAAAAAAATATATAAAACTCATTATTCCAGAAAAAAAAGGTTTATCATTTACTCAACAGTGGTATTAATGGTAAAGTAGCTAAGATAATTTTTACAAAAATAGTTTTGGCAATATCTTTATAATAAGCCTACTAAAAGCAATTTTCAAAATCACTGGGTATGACTAAATCAAGATGAAGAGCTAATGTTTCTGGCATGATGAAATAGGAAACAAAAATTAGTTAACTATTCTTATAAAGATGATTATAAATTACCAAAGCCTTATTTGAAAGAGACAACTAACAAAACACTGTCTTGATGAAAAAATAAAATTGTTTGTAAATTTAAATGCAAAATCTTATAAGGAATAATACACCAACTAAATCTGTCATCAGTAAATAATAATCATAGTGCTAAGATTTCTTGCATGATCACATAAATATTTATGAACAAAAAGCTAAAGGCATATAGCTTTTATATGTGAAAAACAGGAATATGTACTATATACAGGATGTAATTTCTTACTCTTAATTACCTTCATTATTTTTCTTCCTACTGCCTAACAGCTATTTCGTTTCAGGTTTTTACTTTCTAATGTTTCTAAAAATTTGAAATTCTATAAATCTGCAGGTGAGCCAAAATATAATTTTTTATAAAACAGGCTAACACTTGGACAAACTAAGAGGAATATAGAAAAGACCCATCTGAACTTAACATATTTTTTTAATTCAACTTTAGGAATGTGGGAAATAAAAAACCATCTGCAGTTAACTTATTTATTGGAAGTAAATATAATTTTTGACAGAACAGTTGTATAAGTATAACTTGCTACATGTTTGTAAATCTAGAACCAGAAATTTCAATTGGCAGAATTATTTTAGATTTTATAAAAAAAAAATTAAGTTTATTTTCAGACTTCTTAGTGCAATTTTAAGGGATAACTTGAAATTTTCAATCCTTCAATTTCATTGTCTATTTCAGTATTTGTTAAATTACAAATACGATATCACGTACTGCTTTTGAGCCTAAATGTAAATAAAATCAATTGTTACCATCACTGTCTCAGCCAAGAGTGTTATGCATTAGTTTACAAATAGTACTAGAGTAACATTAACAAAACAATATACAAATTAAGTTTCTGAAAACGAGTTACAACTTTGAGTAGTTACACTAGTACTACTACAACTAGTAGTAATACGGTTAAAAATGATAATTGATATTGCACACAATAACAGTATTACTAAAACGTTGTATCTGTTAGAGTGCTTGATTATAAAATTTGAATTTACAATAACAAGTGTCATAAAATAAAAATTATATATATTCTTTCATTAATTTATATTATTAGAAACAAATCACAAATATTAAAACTTACAAAAATAAGTTTCCCTCTGAATGTAAACGTCACACATGTTTTCATTTTCTCACTATGCCCTCTATCAGAAAAGCAATACCTAAAATAATAACAAAATTAATGAAAAATTGGGAATTTAAAACCTGCAAATAGGGATCGTAAGAAAAGTAACAAATCCTGGTTGGAGATACTGTAGACATTATTTACTCAAATTAGATACCCCTATTTTAGCTCCATGCTGTTACTTTGACTTATATATGAGGAACTATAGTGAAAAGCCTTAACGACTATTTTTATTTAATGCTTACTTTAGTCATATTCAAGATATGCATATAAAAACCGTGGGTGATATCGACTATATTTGATCTAGGCTCACTTTACTCATATTTATAATGTATATGTGAAGAACGATAGGTGATAGGCCTAACGTCTATATTTACTTTATGCTTACGTTAGTCACATTCATGATATGTATATAAAAACCGTGGGTGATATCATCTAAATTTAACCTAGAGTCACTTTACTCATGTTTAAAATATATATGAGGGACTATAGGTGATAGGCCTAACGTCTATACTTAATTTTTGCTTACTTTGCTGATATTGATGATATGCATATCAAAATCGTGGATGATATCGTTTAGATTTGATCTAGGTTTACTTTACTCATACTTATATTATACATATGAGTAACTATAGGTGATAGGCCCAACGCCTATATTTAACTAATACTTGCTTTTCTCATATTCATGATATGTATGTAAAATCCAATGGTGATATCTTCTATATTTGATCTAGACTCGCTTTACTCATATTTACAAAGTATATATAAAGAACTCTAAGTGATAGATTTAACGTCTATATTTGATTTATGCTTACTTTAATCATTTTCATGATATGTATATGAAAACTGTGGGAATATCGTTCCTTTATTGATATAGGCTCACTTTACGCATATTTATAATGTATATGTGGAGAACTATA